ATAAGGAGGGGAGATTGTCACAGCCCGTCCCAGAGTTACTAAATACCGAGGACGTGAAATTACTAAAACGCCCTTAAACGGGATTAAGGTGCGTAAATTTGGTATTTGTTTTTACACTAAGATCCTAAACTAGGGTTAGAATTATATTAGTATGTGTTAATTTAATTTGTGTTTGGACTTAGGGTGGGGTCCTACCCCCTAAATCCCTCCCCAAAACCCGTGGGATGTCTCTCTCTCATCTCCCTTCACTCTCTCTCTCTTTCTTCATTTCAGTATCACTCTCTCTCTCTTACTCTCGAACTCTCTCAAGCTCTCGGACAAACACCAAGAACAATCACAATCCTACACCAACGTCCGATCTAAGATCACCACGACACTCCTTAGGACCTCACGAGCACGGGAATACCAGTTTTAGGTAAGTTCTATTTCGAGAACCCTAGTTTTAAAACACCCCGTGAATTGACACTGTTCACGAACTTAAATTTCGTTGTGTTTTAGGCTAATCTGAGATCACCACGAGTCTTAGGAAGTTCCAAGGAGGCTCGGAGTGCCTCGTTTGAACAAAATGGACGTCGGGATCGTCGGGTTCGAGTTTGGCCGAAATTGAAGAATTTTGAAAGGTTTGATCTTGTTGTTAGGCCTTAAAACCCTTCCAACGTGATAGTACATGTGAAATGCTTCATTTTGGTATAAAATGCGAAGAAATTGGTTGAAAAACGAAGGAGAATAGTGGATTTGAAAATTTTCCAGAAACCGGCGAACAGCCGCCGGCGACCGGCGACTCGCCGGAGAAGACAGGGAATCTTCCGTCAAGTTTGACGGAATATTCCGACGCCGTTAGTTAACTTTAACGGAAACCGTTAGTTTTTAACGGAATATTCCTGGAATATTCCTAACGCCGTTCACTGTACCGTCAGTGTGCCTGGCACGTGGCTGCGCGTGGGCCGCGCGTAGGTCCGTGCCACGTCAGGCGCGTGGGGGCGCGTGAGGCCTCCAAAAATTATTTTAAAATTATGGGGATGATCCTGAGGTTGTGTAGGTCACTGTGGTATATTCATATACCCAATTTGAGCATCGTATGAAGAATTTATTACCTAGTTTGGTTTAGGTGCGTTAATTGTGCGTTAAATGATTGTTTTAAGTTATTTCACTTCTAGGTGGAACTTATAACGAGGACGAGCACATCCAGGGGCGTCAAGGGGGTTACGACCCGGCGACATACCAGTGAGTGGGCATTGCTTTCTACATATATATACCTATATACTCGATTTCCCCAGAAATCAAATTTAAATGAAAAATATATTGAAATGAAATGAAATATGATGTGATTGCCATGCATAGAATGTTATGGATATTATGAACTGTCGTATGATGCATATATGTATGATGGTGCTGTGGACGCACAGGTAAGTATTTAATTACTGTTATGTTGAGGATGATGATATATTGAGCTCATATCCTGCACCATGGTTTAGTGCTTATAGTATTCACCGCATCGCACGCTCGCCTTGGATCCAAGTAGATGCTGGTCGTACAGTCCACGCGGAGTGGGTACGACGGGCCAGTCGTAGAGTGTTAGTGAGATTATGACTGGTGGGTGACCTTAGGTTATTGTATACAGATGATTGATGAGAGAAGCACTAGAGCGAATATTACCATGAGTCGTTCAGACTACATTAGGTGGTTCCGACTTATGTGCAGAAGGCCGGACAGGTCACGCGGAGTGACTCCGGCAGAGAGTGAGATTGATAGATGTTGAGCTCTAGGTTCAATCGTTCAGGGCTATTAGAGGGCCTCCGATTGATTATTTCTTTTACCTGATTATATTATGTTAATGCATTCATACTACACTGTTGAAATTGGCATGGTACATTCTTTATTGAATCTGTTATAAGATTGATGATTGAGACAGTTGAGATATATATGCTATATACTATTTTTCTGGGAAAGTATACAGGTTTTCCAAAAAGGGGTTATAAATGTGGATTTATGAAATGTTTTGGAAAAGCTTTATTTTCGCCCACTCACGTTTTCTGTTTTTCGCCCCTCCAGGTTCTAGTTGATAGTTGAGGCGTTGGTGGCCTACGAGACTGCTTCGGCGTTCTGACAGACTAAATAAATGTAGGATTCACCCGAGGGTGTTGTAAATTAGTTATGTTCCTACTTGACTGCACCTAGATGCTTATGCTCTGTTTATGTGTGTTTAGTACACTCTTATGCACATAGAATGCTCGGTTGTAAATAACTGCAATTAGTGGTTTTCGTTGACTCGTATTTTATTATTAAATCGTTTCCGCTTGCGTTATGGTTACGTCACACTCACGTGACGGCCAGCACGTCCTAGTCTTCGGGTTAGGGTGTGTCAGTAGCTATAAAAAAATCATTATAATCGGAGTTAAAACTACCGTTAAATTGTGTTTTTTCGTTTATAACCGTCAAAAAGTTTTATCCCTTTCTTGATCTCTGCATGTTTATTTTTCGCGATTTTTGGCGTATGCGATCTCGAAGCATATGCAAACAAGTTTGACGGTTGGATCCTTGAAATTAGCTTCGTAGAATGTGTATCCCATCAAAACAATAGATTCACTAATACTTATAGTTTATTTATACTTTCATTAAGTATAACATAAAGATTTGTTGTATCTTCTTGTGTAAATATTTTAAATTGACGATCGAATTAGTTCATTGTATTCATATATGATCAAGAAGTGTAGCTGTAAAAAATCATTAAAATCGGAGTTAAAACTACTGCTAAATCGTAATTTTTCGTTTATAACCGTCGGAAAGTTTTGTCTCGTTACTTGATTTTTGAATGTTTTTTTTTGCAATTCTTGGCGTATGCGATCTCGAACTATATACAAACAAGTTTGACGGTTGGATCGTTCAAACTATTTTCGCACAATGCGTATCCCATCAATTTCAATGGTATGTGTATATATATTACCTAGATTTAAATTTATTTATTTTGTACGTATAACATTTAAGAAATTGAAAACTATTTATATTTATTAAGTAGCTTTATATTTATTGTAATTGTTATAAAAATATATTATTGTGGGTTTTACGTAAAAAAAAATTGAATTTGAAAGAACTAAAATCATATTTTCAGTACATTTTATAATAATTTTTTTTTACAAAAAATATCTTGCGCGACGCTACTGTGTAGTCGTCGCACAAAAACCCTTTGCGTGACGTGGAAAGGTAAACCTACATTGCGCTATGTGTGATAATTTTGGCGGTACCCTTGTTAAAAATAGGCGCTTTGTTTAAATTTTCGCTCTGTGATAAACCCCGAACTCTCTCTTCTCACTCGGTCTCCCTCATCCTCTCACACAGGTGAATCACCCTGTCTCCCTCTCGCTCATATCGCCCTCTCCCTCACGCAGGTGAATCACTCGGTCTCCCTCATCCTCTCACGCAGGTGAATCACTCGGTCTCTCTCTTCCCTCTCACTCATATCGACTTCCTTCTCATCCTTCATCCTCATCCTGTCCTCATCCTCTCCCGACTGCACAACAGGTATAGACCCAGGTCAGAATCAAGATTAATTCTTTAATTTTCTTCTTTCTAAGTTCAGAATCAAGGTTTAATGCCTTAATTTGAAGATTTTGGTATTGTAATTAGATTCAATTTGGGAAATTAAATTAGAAATTGGGGGTTTTAGTGTTAAATCGAATTTTAGGGTTAGGAATGTTAGGGTTTTAGTGTTAAATCGAATTTTAGGGTGGTGGGTTGGTCTGCTATGGTGTTAGTTTTTTTGTTTTTTTCTCTGCTTCTTCACAAATGGCAAAAATATCGGTTGAAACTGCGGGCGAAGAAATTGGTTCCTCATTAGTTAATCCCATGTTGTAGACGAAAAGGGAAAATGGACGATACTCTTACTATTGTCGCGGCTGAAACGATGGCTGTTGTTGTTATTCTTGGTCGGCTTCCTGGTCTTTGTTTTCTCATATAACTGGTCTTCCTTTGGTTAGAGGTGCATCTTCTTCTAATGGTTTACGGTGTATATGTTATTATCACTAATTGGTGGTACTCACTAAACCAGTTATGAATTTTTGGTCACTTTAACTAATCAAGCTTTCATCTGGACAGCTTAATGTTTTTACCCTTTCCCTGAAAGCATGACTTATGGAAATTCATTAATATTTCATTTGTAGAAGTTGGTTTCTTAAGTTTGAATGGTTGTCTTAAGTTTGGACTTTTTTTTGCTCTGTGTCTCTCTATCTCAAGCTTGAACACGAACACCCACCCTCTTTCCCATACACACACAGTTTCACACTTTGAATACTGCCTTGTTGGAACTGCAACAACTTCTTCTGGCCATGCTTTATGCTTTTAGTATTTGCATAATCTAGAAAGAGAGTTGTCATTTTGAAATATAAAAACGAATTAAAAAAAGGAGAAAGCTTTCTTCCCTGCAACTTTAGTGTTAGAGCTATTGATCCAATAAGTTGTCAGATGTTCCTAATTGTTGTGAACATAAGGCTTCATTTAGAAACAGAAATGAATGATTTGTGTAATTTAACTAAATGGTGACTCAAAAGAATCATTATTGAAAACATGATTGAGTTCAGAATATATATGCAATTGGGTTTATTGTTCTATGATTAAGGAATCACAGTCATCTCATTACTAGGAACGTAATGCGAGCATGGATGCAGGTGGACTATTTTAGCCAATAAGCTATACTTTGTTGTGAAGAACTTCAATTATAGGTATCATACTGTTATTCATGTTCATTGTTGTTTGATGTATGTAATCAAACTAGCTATGAATGTCCAGTTCTTAGGTCAACATATAAACCATATCATATAGCAGTCATGAGTTCTTGAGATTGCTGCTGATACTCTATCCAGAAAATCACATATAATCTGTTTGAAACGTTCACCTTTCAACGATGTGCTTCAGCATTTTATTTTTTTTCCATCCAAATGCCCAATGGTGGCTATCTATCAGAACTACTATTTCCTTTATTAGGAATCGGAATCCCATAAATGGACAGTTGGCATGCATACATCTGCATATGAAAGCAACTATTTGTAGTCATAAAATGAATTTTCTCCATTTACCTTTTCATGTATGCATTTACGATGTCAATTTTTTTTGTTTTTTGTTTTGCAAACACTTATCTTAATGCTTCTGTTCGCTGAAACTCTGCTTCATCCTGATGTTGCTCTGTCCCTCAGTTCAAAATCAAGACATACGAACCAATTGTGCTCAATTAGCCAGTATGATTCATATTCTCTTTTGAATGAGGTAAAACCTTCTTTGTTCTCTTTGTTCCCTTAAGGTTCAACTTATGATCCAGGAAGACCAGATGAGGGCCCATGGCGAGCAGATGAGGGTGCAGCTAAAGGCCTAAGGCGAGGAGATGAGGACCTATGCCGAGATGGTGAGAGACCTTGTACAAGCCATACAAATGTCCGGCCTCCAAATCTCGTTACCAGCACCTCATCTTGTTTCAGCTTCGACCTCAGAGCCACCTCGCCCTGCCGATACCCAGTAGCCTGATGTATTAAACCTAGTTCACTTGTAGTTTTTTCTTTTTTGTTCGGACATTTTGTATGTACATTTTCATATATTTTATAATTAAATATTTTTGCTTGGTTAATTAATTATTCTTTAGAATTTAATTACAATATTTATCAAAAATTTAAAAAACAAAATATTTTTCACTAAAAAAATAATTATTTTTCACTAAATAAAAAAAAAGATTTGCGCGACGCATGCCTTAGGATGTGCGTCGCGCAAAGTATCTTTGCACGATGTAGGATGCGCGTCGCGCAAAGTGACTTTGCACGACGTAGGTGTGCGTCGCGCAAAGTACTTTGCACGACGTAGGCCATGCGTTGCGCAAAGTGGCTTTGCGCGATGCATGTTATTTCTTCGTCGCGCAAACCCTAGCGTCACTACCTTGGCGCGACGATTAGCGCGCGACGAAGGTTGCGTCGCGCAAACCCTTGCGCAACGATTTTTGACTTTGCGCGACGCATGTACGTACGTCGCGCAAAATGTTTTTTTTACCAGTGTGAGTATCATGATGTCATAGTTACGAATGCTTTGTCAATGCTTATAATTTTCACATAACGTAATGATCTTTGATTGTATCTCTATTATGATGTCATGTAGGGAACTTTTGAAGAATGCTTTGGGTTGTCGAATGATGTCATCCAATCCAATAACTAAAGGAAAATCTGAGGGTTAATTAGTGATTAACACGGTTAATCTGGGGCATTGTCGTTCATAATTCAACAGAAGAGTAATTGGAAATCGATTGATGTTCATATAAGTTATATGTGGATAAGGAACCTCTAACTAAGCCCACAAACCATCCAGAAATCCAAATTTCTACCAAACTTTGTCTAGTTTAGTTTCTATCTTGTTCTAGTTCAAATTCGTCAAAACGAAAACCCTCATTTGTTTTAAGTGTCAATTAGGTTAGAATTTGTGTTATTTTATGTTTTTTAGTGTCTTGAGTCATAATCAAATCAATCTTCGTTTAAAGTCATCTTTAGTGTCCAGTTTGAGTCAATTTGATTATTTGGAGCTGTTTTGAGTCTTTTAAGGTTGTTTAAGTCATATAACCTGAGTTAGAGTTTTAGAGTCTAGTTTTTATGTTTTTAGGTCAGTTTAGTTTAGATTAGCAATCTCTCCTAAACCTCAATTTAGAATGATCCCTACTTATACACATACTACAATTGTCAAAATAGGGTTTTAATTTGTGTGCTTGTTTTACATCGCATCACCTACCTTCAGGGGATGTTCGATACAGGTTAGTAGCGTGACATCCCTTTTGGAACAATGATGTCATGTCTTTCATTGCAAGCATGTTTGTAGCTAGTATATGTGATCTTGTCATGTTCGCTAGATCAAAGAAAATGTCTAGTAACATTTTGATGATCTAGATTATGGGGATCGAGATGAGACATAGTGAGACGTCCAAGATAATTTGTGCCATTCTTTAGGAACGTTGATGTTCTTATCTCCCCCTAACGAAGGGAAAATTGTCTCATTAAAGTGACAATCCACTAATTAAGTAGTAAAGAGATTGTTAAAGGGCTTAGGAGAATCAGAATCGACATTGATTCACATCCTTTTTTGTGAGGATTCATAGTGGTACATTGGAACGGTGCAATTGGCACATAAAGTGTACACCCAAAACGCATAAGTACAAAACTTCAGGTTTGTACTCAAGTACTAACTATAATGCCAAAAATAGGATTGGATGGCATGGGCCTCAGGTGGACCAACATAGCTACGTGAAGTAGTGCATGTTCCCAAGTAGAGGTTAAGAGTTTAGTACATAAGACTAACAACCAAGCGATGAATTGAACGCGTTTAATGAACAGTTTTGCTTGGCTAATTGAACATGGGGAATCTGATGTTCAATTACAAACCCAAAAGACATGCAATACTTATCAAAACATCTTCGATATAAACTTTCCAGTATTATCCAGCCTTCCAAACTTTAGAGGATATCTAGGGTGGTGAGCCTATAAAATCGGTCAAGAGGTTTAGCAGCAATATGTGTAGACAAACATGTAACAATTTTTTCGATAGATCAACTAACCCATAAATTTTTATATGGTTCGTATTTTGGTAGGATTAGGCCACACATATTCCATTGAATCCATTGTAGAAAAGATCTTAGTACTTGATCTGAATAGTTTTCCCAATGAAGATCAGTAAGCATGCTTTGTAAGGTACGCTTCCTGGTATGATATCCTTACTTCTGGTAAGAAGATGCCCTATACGACACATCTCTAGAATATGCTTCTGGTTATATCCGTAGGAAGCTATACAAAAAGGAATTTTACTCCATTTGCTACATTGGTTTCACTATAGTAATAGTTCTCTCGAATATCCTTAAGGCTCAAACTTGTTTTTTTGGAACTTAGTATAGAGCTTCCCTTATAGCAAAAGTAGTACCATTGAACAACATAGGGCAATGCCATGCCCTACAATTAGGTTGGCTAAGCCTGAAAGGGTTTTTAGGGGATAATTAGGTATGAAGTTAGTATATAGAACCAGACAGCTAACTTTGCCACAAACATACTTAAGCATGAGTTAATTGGAGTCGTCACATATTTTACCTTTCGTCAATTAACTCATGTTCGAGAACAATAATGTGATCCAAACGCCAACTTTAAATACGGGAACATAAGAAATTGTTCACAAATTAAACCAAATGTACTGGGTTCGGCCAATATGGTCTTCCATGTCAAAATTCTGTTAGTCCAAATGTGTTAGGTGGACAAAAATTATGCTCTTAGATTGGCTAGGGGAATGGTACTTCTCAAAACCATTGGTAAGGGCACAAACGGGTGCATAACCAATGATCTATTCCATCAAGATGGAATAAGATTCTGCATGGTTAAGGTTCGGGAATACTGTATCTTATTCTTGAAGTTTTAGGTCTTAGATGTCGAGGATCATGCTTCTGGCTATAATGCCACCCATTGGCATGCCTTGATTCTACCATATATTGTAAAACAAACTTGAAAATGGGTGTGAGAAAGAGACAGACTCATACTTGGTTTCGTGAACTTCCAACTGAAGATGGAGGATCTGCTTAGAATGCCTTGGGCGAAGTTGAGCATGCTTTTAGGTGGATCTCTGCTGAACTAAGGCACTGCCATTTGGTAGATTCCAGCCGAAACTGAGTCTATACTGTTTGGTAACTTCTAGTCGAATCCTTGGGGTACTTTTCTCTCACAGGTATGGTAACATCCGATCTCTACACTGCTGCTGCAGAAGCAAGTTAGAAATATGGAAGGACGAAACAAATCTTCTCCAGTTAAACTTTGATCGGATATAAACTTCAGAATTGTACCTATTCATGGACATAAAAGTTGCAATCATGCCTTGCTTCTGGCAAGCCATTATCTTTGCATGATTTGGAACTGTCTATATGAGCAACTCAAGGAGCCATGGAATCTTTGTCAGTGAGGTACTACTATTTAATATGCTTCAGGTATAAGTCTTCGACTGAAGATCACGACGGAGGCTTATTCAACTCTTCCACTTCGTAGTTGGCAATAATGGTTTTACATCTTTTTTGTAGTCAAACAGAGCGTCACATCTTGTATCCACATAAAATAGTTTCTGTCTGAGACGTCTACATTAGTGAAATCGAACTTGTTACGGTTCGACAATTCACCGGATGAAGGAAATAAGATTGTGATTGGTGCTTTGGGAAATAAAACCTCCATAAGCATCCAAGTTAGAATATTGGAGTTCTAAGAGATAGTTTGGTTTAAACGATTAATCATGGAGAACTTCGGGCCTTAACATGAGTGGTGTGTGTTAAGAACTTTAGGTTTTTATGGTAATTTTTCCTAAACTTCAGGTTTAGGATTATGAACTTCAAGTTCATTATACTTACAAACAAAGGCATGTACAAGGCAAGATATGGAAAGCAATTCAAAATAAATATAATAACAGTGCGTGGTTTCGGGACCTTTTTGTATGAAGTTTAGGGAATAGCCCTAAAAAAGTATGAAGCTTCAGGTCTAAAAATAAATTATTATTTTAATAGGCTGGCCTAGAGGCCAATGTCACATCCCAATCTCAACTCCGACGTAGCACGATATTGTCTGCTTTGGGTTTACCATTCCCTCACAGTTTTGTTTTTGGGAACTCACGAGTAACTTCCCAGTGGGTCACCTATCCTAGGATTGCTTTAGCCCAAACTCGCTTAACATTGGAATTCTAATATTGTCTGCTCTTGGCTTACCATTCCCTCACGGTTTTGCTTTTGGGTTTTGACACAAGAACTTCTGAGGGGGGTCACCCATCCTAGGACTGCTCTCATCCAAACTCGCTTAACTTCGGAGTTTCGATGGAACTCGAAGCCAGTGAGTTCCCACAAGGCCTCATGCTATAGGAAGGGAAACATGTACATATAAGGAACATCATCCCATTGCCGTTGGTCGATATGGGATGTGACATTTGGTATCAGAGCCACTCTGCTGTTTGGTATGGATGTGCCGGTGAGGACGTCAGGTTCCCCTTAAGTAGGGTGGATTGTAAGATCCCACATTGAGCAACAGAAAGGGGGTGATGTGCCTTATATGTACATACTCCGCTCTCTATAACACTAGGCCTTTAGGAACTCATTGGCTTCGGATTCCATTGGAATTCTGAAGTTAAAGTGAGTTTGAGCGAGAGCAGTCCTAGGATGAGTGACCCACTGGGAAGTTATCTTCTGAGTTCCCAGAAAAAAATCCATGAGGGAATGGTATGCCCAAAGCGGACAATATCGTGCTACAGCGAAGTCGAGACTGGGATGTGACAACCAATGAGAGAGAAGTGGGGTTACACAGAATCCAGGCCCAAATATGGGTAAGAAAGAAAAAGTGAAAAACAACTCCCATTAAATGGGGCAGTTTCATGTGGCTTAAAAGAAAACAACACTAACCAGAGCCAATTTTAAATTATATAAGGCTAGTCATAGAGGAAGCCCTATTAGGCTTTTAATTGCTTGAAAAAAAAAACAGTTCCTCTTGTGATGGGCTTAGTCAGTGTAGGGAGGAAAATGTCCAAGCTCAAAAAAGGGCTTTTAACCTGGAGGAAAATACAGGCCCTTTCTAAGTCCAAAGACACAAGCCAAAGGAAGACAAGGCCTGTCTTGGGTTGCCATTAAGAAAAAGCTAGGCCCATTTTGTGGGCCCAAAATGTGACAACCCATCCCTAATTTTGCGATTTTATAAAGTTTAAAAGTGTGAATTGACGAAAATGTCCTTTGAGGCAAAGCGTTGACTTTTGTTGACCGTTAGTTCATGATGCGAACGAGCTATTATTTTACCATATTGTCGAAGTACTCGATGGTACAAACATGTAGGCGCAAGTGGAATCGAATTTGGACCTACGACTAAGATTTTACGGAACTACGAATCCAAGAAATACCTTTGTGAAAAATTATTATTTTATATATTTTTCGAAATTATTATATTATTATATTATTATTTTAATATTTGTTTGGTTATTTTAATATTTTAAGGGGAGATTTTCTCTCATTTTCTGTCTGATGGGAACTCACTCACTTAGGATCCCCACTCTACCTATCTTGTGTCCCCCCATTCTCTTGGACCTCTCGTTTTCTACCACCTCAACTCTCTCATCTCCCTGTGTCTCTCTCACTCAATCTCTCAATTCTCTCGGCTCTCTCTCTCTAAAAAAGAAAAAGAAACTCTGGACTTTCTCTCTCATTCTCGGCGAACCCGAGATCTCCACAACCCATCATCAACTCCGGCGAACGCAACTTCCCCCTAAATATCCTACCACTCCTTCCCTGTAAATGAACCGACACCATCAAACCAAGACACTGGGCCGCGACCTCCATGTTTCTCGATGAGAACCTCTCAAATTTTAGTGAAGGTAAGCCTCGAAAACCCCCAAGATCTTTGTAGATCGTGTTTAGAAGTATGATAAGGATGTTTTTGAGATGTTTTGATGATGTTCAGATGCAGAAAACACATCGGGGAAATACTCCATAGTTTTCCGACGGAGATCTGGCCATTTTGAGCCCCTTTCCTGTCACCTCTGGCCACAGTCGAGGAAATCAAAGGTGTATTTCGATTCCTTGTTATCTGAGCTTCGATTTGATATATTGGAAGGCTAGGTTTAGTTAAGTTTTTGGTGTGGTCGGAATTGGGTGGAATCTGGCGATTGCAGTGGCAACTGGTCGGAGAAGAAGAAGATAGAAAAAAAAAAAAAAGTGGCCGAAGCCCAAACTTGGCCCAAAAACCCAATCCAAGTCCTTGGCCCAAACCTTTGGACCACTGCTCCAGCCTAGCCCAATTTCCAACTGGCTGAGAATATTCTAGGAATATTTCTTATGTTGACTTTTTGAAATTTTCTCGGGAACCCTCTTAGGCTAATTTTGACGCCCCGAGTTCGTTTTTGACGTCCATTTAGTGAAATTTCAAACTTTTAACGTAGTTGACCACCGGGGCTGACCGTCAACCTTCTTGTTGACTTTTTAGAAAATTTTCTGGGGACCCTCCTTAGTGTGTTTCGATGCTCTGATTCCAAATTCGCACTTCGTTTTCCCAAATTTAATTGTTTTAGTTGAGTTTTACTCCTAATATTATGTTTAGGTGCAATTATTATTTGTGACTTCGGCTATTCTAGTTCGAAAGAGTTCGACTCGACGACGTGATCTGTGAGTGGGTCTTTTCTTTATATACGTGTGTGTGTGTGTGTGTGTGTGTGTGTGTGTGTCTATTGGTTAGTTTCCATATATACAATTATTAATAAATTCTCTACGTGATTGCCATGATTAAATTAACGTTTATAAGAAATGCCTTATTGTCGGGAAATGATGAAATAATCCTACGGGATGCACATGTACGCTTATTATTAAAGGGGATGCCTTAATTAAATCTATGGTCATGAATAGAATTATATTGACTAGAATTGTAGAAATTACTGTGTCATGATTATATTTAAGTTATTTGCTCATCATTGTTGCACAGGTGTTAGTACTCACCTGGGCCAGGGCTAGGCTTTCATGTGTATGCGCACATTGTACTGTACGCTCACTTTGGACCATTGTAGGTGTCAATCTTGTTGTACAAGTTGCAATAGGCAACTCCGACTCGTATGTGTTGTGCGTAACACCATTTCTCACGTGATTGTAGTACTAAAGCGTATATCATTATTACACCCAGTCATGTTCAACAGAATACCTCTACATGAACTGGTGTGTCAACATCTGTCGATAAGCATTCGATGTGATATGTTTATTTAGGCGAAAATATATGATTACAGATGTCTTGTATTTGGTTGCAAAAGTTGTGATGTATGGCATCCTTGAAATATTTTTGGCTATGGTAAGTATTTTTATATTATACGTAGTATGTATATTTGGGAACTATACTTGTTTTCTGGTGAAGGGTTATAACGTTTTCAAGAAGGTTTTTATAAGGCTTTGTTTTTAGGCTCACTCACCCCTGCCCCTCCAGGTTTTAATAGCTGATCTTCCTTGTCGACGAGGATTCTTGGCAAATATTGGTATTGGAGATTACCTTCAATGGTATAATTCTCATCCTACTTTACTGTACTTTACTTATGCTCTAAAATCACGTGTGAAATGGGTTCATTCCCGCTCACCAACACACTATTTTATTTAGGCACTTTTAGGCTTCTATTTATTCACATTTTCAACTACACTACACTATATGGCTTTGTTACCTTCCAGGTGTCATCCAACACAGCTCGATTCGAAGTCCAAATGGACATTCCAGGTCGGAGTCCAAGTGGACATTCCGGGTCGGAGTCCAAGTGGACATTCCGGGTCGGAGTCCAAGTGGACATTCCAGAACTAATCTGAGTTTTGGGTGTGCTGGAAAACTAACAGAGCCATCCAAAGGTGTCTGTGCTTGCAAGGCCGAGTCTGTAGCTTAAGGCCAAGCACAACAGAGGTATCCCGTCGTGGGTGGGCAGTGGCCATAGTCCACGATTTGTCTATGGGAATCATCCCCAAAGGCAGAGGCCAAGCTTTGGTTTGTTGAATTGGTGTCGTCAAGGATGATGCCCTACGATGAAGGCAACGTGCAGGCCATCATGAGCCTACTAATTGCAGAAAGCCAACCTTGGGCTTGTGGCTTAGCGTAACTTTAGCTTAACGTGACTCTAGTACAAGGAGTTTGGTAGTGAGACCTACAAGGGGGGTGATAGCATCGAAGCCATGTGTTATTTTGTAATTTATGCAGTGGCTTAGCTTGGCAGCTTGGCTTGGCGTGAGCACGGTTTCAAGCCGTGGCTCCAACGCTAGCGTGGCCTCAAGTCGTGGCTTTAGTGCGAGCTAGGGTTTCAAAATTTTTCTTTCTTTTTATTTGCTTATTCACACACATTCAGTTTACATAATATAGTAATATTTTGAATTATAATTTGTAAAACATAAAGTTGGGTTATGCATTTGGTGAATGTAATATCCGAAAAATTTAAGTGGTTGATTAAGAGTGAATTACTTGTGGCCATTGTTAGTAAACTTAATTTGCCTTGTTTGAGGTTGGGATCAATTGGTCTTTGCCCATTAAAAAGATCCTTTATTTTTTAGATCAACCTTTGGTTAGAAAAGAAAAGAATAAATTAAAAAAAAAAAAACAAAAGAGGGATTCTCACTTTAATAAGTAAAGAGAAAAGGTAATGGGTATGTTCTAGAAACCCTCTTTCTTGATGCTCTCTTCTCTAGCCGAGAGTGAGAGGGTAATTTCACCTTTTTAGTTCTTTTGGCTGCCAGATTTTCAAGGAAGAATAATTCAATATCCAGTTGAATTTGCTTGTGTTGATTAGGACAAGTCAAATTCTTTCCTTCGTCTACACTAGAGGTATCTATTTGTTACATTTGAAATTTGATTGTTATTTGGTTTGATAACCCATGAATTAGATTGGGTGGGCACCAAGTGCTTGATTAAAGTCCCCAATTAACCTTGAATTATGGTATGTTGTTTGGTAGTTGTACAAGCAGTGTGTGATGATTTTTCTTACTTATAGATAAGGAAGAGAAGGACAAGGTGACTATGGAGCAAGTCACAGTGGGAGTTGAACATCAACAAATTGGGTTGAGGTAGGGGTTTTAACCATAAAAAAATTTAGATTTTTCGTTTTACCAAACAAAGTTGGCATTTGAGCTCTATTTTCACCTTACTTCAAATGTTTTTCCGTTTTTATTATGTGAAAGAAGTGAAGCAAATGTTTCTCTATGGTTGGATTCTAATGATTTTAATTTTCTTTCTACAACTTTGGTGAGTTCAAAGTAATTGGAAAGGTTATTCAAGATTTTGTTTTTGACGTACATACCTTTATTCTACTCATTATGAGATTTTGAAGCTTGTTGACATGATTGTTTAATTGTGAAAGTAGATGGAAAGTAGTATAATACCTGTGCAATTAAGAATGTTGAGAAATGTATGAATGGGACACAATGACTAAATGTTCCCTGGGGAAAGCTCCATATGTGGGTTGCAAGAATGAGTTATCAATGTGATAAATATGTGTGATATGTATATTGGTCAGGTATGTTACGGTTCTTTCCAATCTGCTAGTCACTTGTTTGGGATAAAAGAAAATGTTTGTGATTAGTTGTGCTATTTTTCTTTAAACGATAATGGCTCCGTTGTTCTCAGAACAAAAGAAATGATTTTGAATTATGTGCTGTGTACCGTGTTGTTATTAAAGCTAGTAGTGCTCTGAAACTTTGGTTTTCCTAGAGTATGTTTATTTCCAATCATCTTTAGAGCATATTTCTGTTGTTAAATTACTTATTATTGGATGTGAATGTTTTTAAATTGCTCTAATCATTTTTCGGCATGCACCAAGAATTTAAATGAGGTCTTATAAAAAAACCCCTACTGGGCATTTTATGCTCATCTGTTTTTCTAACATGTATTTTCAGGCGGTGTAAGGTTGACTAGCTGAATTTTAAGTTGCAGTTCTATTTTGTGGATTAGTGAAAGGGAGTGTAGACGTATATCTTTTGGGTGAGCTGCCAATGTATTATGTATAGTTAGTCTCTTTAGTCTGTAAATGATCATTTTGCTGCATTGTAAATTAAGAAGACGTAGGCCACAATGGGTTAGTGTCTCTTAATCTCACACCTCGAGTTTTGGGGTGTGACAGTGAAGGTCCATGCAATAAGGGCTGAAAAAATATTAAGGTAAAAACCGTTGTTTTAGAAGAACTTAGATTGAGTGATGAATATTGTGAACGGATTTGTACGAGTTCCTCCTTCAGATTCCATATTCAAGGCATGTTGTATCTTGTTTCAACATAAAAAAATAGATTGAATCAACAAAAGTATATGAATTCAATAAAATCAAAAGTTAATCAGATAAGAGTAATTGAAACGCAATATTCCCCTGATTTATTTATATTTTTTTTTTTTGCCAATAATACTCCCCTGATTGAAGATGAACAAATTCTCTGTTGCGCAGCGTCAATAGCATGGTGATAACATGTTATGAAAGAGAGTTGGAGGATAGGGTTGAGAATTTCTATGTGTTATTCTCTAGTTCTTGTGGTCTTATTTGTAGTAAACCAACGAAGATTCCTTGCCTTACAAGTAATACAATCCTAAAGGGAAAAGTTCTTCTAGTATCCTAAATACAATCTACTAATAATTTACACAATCATACATCTGCTAGAAGTACATTCATAACAATTTTTTTATTTTATTTTAATTTTTCCTTTTTGTGTTCTCATGAATGAAAAAGGACCATTAAGTACCAAATTAACTACCAACATATACCTAAATTAACTACCAACACAATCACACATCTATTATCGCGAAAAGCATGCCTAAATTAACTACCTACACAACAAAGACTCGTTCCTTGCCCCCAAATACATAGCTATATCTCTCTCTTCTCCCTCAACCCTACAACCGTGGTGCACATTTGCATCTGCCACCCACGCCAACGCTGCGGTGCAGTGTACCTCTTCCGCCCCAGCACGACAGCACACATATACCGAATTTGATAACACATCTTTGAAAACCGAAAAAAAAAAAAAAACAAAAAACAAAAAAAACAAAAACAAAAAGGAAAAACAAAAATGTATCCGCCACCGCCATACTATCCTCCACCTCCACCAGCCTTTTACGCGCCGCCACCAATGATGGCACCACCAAGGCGGTACTCTCCGTGGCTGGTGCCGCTTATATTCATTGTGAATATCGGGGTGTTCATATGGACAATGTATGAGAACAACTGCCCATCTAAAATGTCAAAGGATCAGTGTATGGGAGGGCATTACTTGGATAGGTTCTCCTTCCAACCCTGGCATGATAACCGCATGATCGGTCCTACCCCTGAAACGTAAGCTCGATCATATATATTTCTGTTTTACTTATTATTTATCTCTAATTACTGGGATTACAAAGATTGTTTGATCAATGCTTTTCACAATTGAGATTTCTAATCCAGTTTTACTATTAATTTTATATTTCTTTGGTTCTTTCTTTTTCTCGTTTTCTTTTTGGAAAGGGAAGGGAGAGGTTAGAGTTTGGCAATGAACCAATTAACCTGAGAATTTCGATTACGAATATGAATTAAATTTTAATGACCTAAAATTGAAGTTTTTACAACTGAAAGTGGCATGGAAGGAGAACCACTGCATAATGTAGGGTTGATTTTACCTATGTAATTATCGTAAATAAAGATTTGATGGTAGTTATAGGTGGAATTTCAATCAATCTCGGCTGAGGTCGGTTTAATCTGTTGTGTTCTGTGTTTACTTGTACTTTCTCTCTACAATCTTTTAGAATTTGAAACAAAAACGAAATTTCGACATTTCAAACTGAATTTTTGGTATTCTGTTTAGCGGTTGCTCCTTAAAACCAACTTCATCATAACTTTCTAGGGTGGCAAAGAATGGAAAAGTTATTCGGGTTAAAGCTTTCTCCAATTACTGGCTACGTTGAATATATCAAAGGGAAATGATTTATGCACACCTTTTTTAGGCATTGGATTGAACAAAGTATAAGGGAATAAAGGGCCATAATCTAGAGAGGAAATGCAGAGAACAGTTGCCTACATCTGAAACGTAATCTAATTGCCACTATTTGCAGCCTCCAAAGACTAGGAGGCCTTGATACAAAACTAGTGCTGAATGGTGAAGCATGGCGCCTGTTTTCTGCAACGTGGCTACATGGCGGGCTGATTCATCTATTCGCCAACATGATCAGCCTTGATTTCGTAGGGCTCCGGCTTGAGCAGGACTTTGGATTTCGTAAGAGCTTTGGATTAAGATTTCATTTTAAGTACCAAGTGTTTTTCATGATCAATGGTATCTAATAACTGTTGCTTAACACTGGATTTGCAGACAGATTCGGATTTGTGTATGTGCTTTCTGGCTTAGGGGGAAGTTTAGGGTCTTGCCTTAATATTATTAAACACGGAAAGTCAAGCAAGACTATATCAGTTGGCGCATCTGGGGCAATTTTTGGATTGTTGGGAGCCTCACTTTCTGAGCTGATCACAAACTGGACAGTGTATGACGATAAGGTAACGTCTATTTTCGCGTCCTGTTCCCTCGTTTTTAATTTTTCATAACAGCTAAATCGAGGTTCTTACTACAATTCAGTGCTCGTCGATCATGATAATCATCCTAAATGCTGCCCTGAACTTGGCCATTGGATTTCTACTTCATATGGACCATTCAGCTCATGTAGGAGGATTCGTCGCCGGATTTTTCCTTGGTTTTGTGTTTTTTGTTAAGCCTCAGTTTGGGTATGTAAGCAGCAAGTACATGCCAACCTACCATCAAGTCAAAAGTACAGCAAGGCACAATTTCTGTCAATATTTTCTGGGGTTCGTTGGTTTGGTGGCGTGCATTATTCTGTAAGTGGTTAATTTCTTTCTCTCTTTGGACAAATTATTCAAGAATGCAAAAAAACATAAACTATATATATCGATTATCTAACAAATTTATGTTTTATTTTAAAATTTGCAGGTATGCAACTGCCTTCGGTAAGCTATTTAATATAAGGGAAATTAAACAACATCTGCCTGATAGTATAAACAAATATTGAGCTTGTGTAAGTTTTGAGTAATTAATGGACAAACTATACTTTCGTGGCGGTTCAACTTCATGTTTTTTCAAGAATTAGAAGTATGACACCATAAACTGTTCTAGCGTAACGCGTGCATATGTATCATCGATGTACTGCCAATGTTCAGAGCATATTTATATGAGAGAGATGATTGCGAGGATGTAAGAGATATGAGTATTTTCTGTACTATGATCAGATAAGTATTTCAGATTTCGTAGCACTCGGAAACAATTTCTTGGCCGTAATCTCAGTTTCAGAATTTTTCTGCATCTTTCGGAATAACAACTTCAGAAGTTCGATTAGAAAACCTAGGCTACAAAATAAAAGTCATCATGCCTGCACTTGCAAATATGCGTACTTTTTAGTAGAAGATTAATGCATACCCTTGGCGAATCTCAGGGTGCGTATTTACCAAGTATGCGCAACCAAACAATGGTTGCAACATTGCCATACACATACAAAATATCGAGCAATCCTGCAACCATCCTGAAGAACAACAAAACATTTTCCCATTATGTGGGGTCGGTTGACTAAGTGGGGTCGGCTGCCTGCAACCAATCTGAAGGGAAAAAAAAAATCACAAACAAGTATGCAGCTTTCATCAATTTAAAATCTTGACAGACGAAAGATTTAAAATGACAAAAGGCGAAGGACATAGAGAGGTACAAACTGTAGAAATAATGCTAGGTGGGGGTAAAGTTTAAATGTATTCCAACTTTCGAAAATATATTGTAAGCTGAATGAATTCCCTAACTCTTTATAATAATACACATTTTCCAAATTCCATCCTTTTCTAACTAAGAATGGGAGACGAAAGGGGGCGTTATTGCTTGGCCTTACTAATCAAATTCGAAACCACTTCTTGACATGCTTCTCAGTTTTAGTTTTCAGAAACTGGGAAAAATCGAAAAGGCCTAATGCTCGAGGCACCAACACATCTACTTGGAGATAAGCCTTTACGTATAGTGAAAGATTATGAGAGCGAAAAAGAGGGAACAACAGAGCAAAAATGACGATTTGCATTGACTAAGACAATGAAGGCACAAAACCAGTAATAACTGTTGACTCTGTATAGATTTCCTTTTATTCCGGAATTCCTATAATCTTGGGATTCCTAGTTTAGGAGATATTGTTTGTAATTATTCTTTCCTTATTACAGTAGGATTGTACATGATTATATATACCTCAGAATGAGAAGAATACAATACACATTCAAAGCATTCTCTTCTTGGCACTAGAGCCAGATCGTAAAAAAAAGAGAAAGAAAACTTCGAACCCTTGCCTTTGTCGCGGCACATATTGTCATTTGTCGTGAAAGATGTCTACCGAGGATAGCAATGTGATTCCCATTACTGCTTCGGTTGTTGTACAATCCGATAATTCCAATTTCAACATTGGAATGGTTTTGGATGGGAAGAACTATAATCTATGGGCTCCTCTCATCCAAATTCATATTGTTGGAAGGAAGAAGATGGGATATCTTCGTGGGTCCATCAAGGCACTTGACGAGAATGATCCCAAATATGATGATTGGTTCTCTGAAGATCAGAGAATTAAGAGTTGGCTCTTGTTGGCAATGAAGCTAGAGATTATGAAACGGTACATTTGGCTATCAACTTTGAAAGAAATTTGGGATTCTCTGAAGACTGCCTATTTTGACGAGAACGATGAGGCTAGAATTTATTCCCTGTACCAAAAAGCATCACGTCTTTGGCAGTGTTGAAAGTATGCCCACAAAACCACTCATTTGATGTAATAGCTTTTGATATACTTATTGTATAAAACTATTATCTGTTTAATGAAGCGCAAAGCTTATTGTCAATCACTATTTATTGTATTATGTGTTTAAGCAATAAGGGAATCCAATGAATGTATTTAATCTAAGATAAAAGTGATCTAAGTAAGTTAGATTAACGAGACCTTTCTCTTATGTTAATTCCTAAAACATTCCTAGCCATAGATATGCCAATTGGGCATTGGCAATCTGCTAAGGTTAGTATGTGTTATGTTAACTCAAGCGTGAGTATGACTAGTCAAGTCATTTAGTGTTGGACACTGAGACAAACACATAGGTGCTCAAAAGGTAATCGAGTACACTGAACAACAATCAAAAGAGAGTTCGAACATACAGGTCATGTAAGAACTCATAAGTTGCAATATGCAAAGTAGTTCTTTGACCTGAGGCATCATAGATATTTAATGCTTAGGTCTTTGATCTTTGATGATGTCAAAGGCATTCCATCGAGAGTGTCGATGACATTGTTGGCAAGCTATCTAGTCATGTAGGCATATGAAGGCACAACAAGGGATCTCTAACCTTCCCTAACGGAGGGAGAATACTTTGAGATATGATTCGGGAGTCTTTGGCCAAAGCATACGAATATGACTTAGGAAGTTTGTTCCAAATCATATTCAATTTAATCATATAGAGAAGTATCACATTGGATAGTAGATATGAAACAAACTATCACTCAAACAATGTGATTAAGAGTATTGTATTAGAGAATGACCGTATTGCATTGTAATTGTAACTAGATAGGTTCTCCAGCCACTTCTACTTAGCTTGGGTAGCCATGACATACTGCTAGGTGTCACTCATGGTTTGTGGAAGCCCTAAAGATTAGGAAACACTAATATACATCAAAGGGAGAATTGAAATGTAGTTTCAATTCACAATCGATTGTTAAGAGTAACAATTGCCCATTGCCTTGCTAATTGGAACCTAATGGATCGTACACCGAGTAAGGATGAAAGTGAAGAAATATAAATGAGATGGATAAGCAATAAAATGGCTTAATTGAGAATGGTTAAGATTAATTAATTAGTTAATTAATTATATGAAAGGTTCGTATTGGGCTTTTAAGTTAGTTTCGGGTCTCAGGTCCTAAATGGGTTTTGGTCCACAAGGCCCATTATGTTTAAGTTGTATGACAACTAAAACAAAATGGGCAATTAGCCCAATAAACAAAGTCAAAACCGGCCAAGGGTGAGTGGTAGCAAACTTGGGTTAATTGCAAATTTGCCACTCACATGTGAGGTGGTATAAAGGCAACTTTATAGCATTCTCTCACTACGGTTTTCTTGAGGCAAAGAAGAGAAAACTTTTCTCCCTTTTACTCAAAAGAGGCCGGCCACTTAGGGTTAAAATAGCTAGCAATCTTTTCTTCCTCTAAGTCATCTATTTCATCTTCACACCTCATCCTTGGTGTGGAGACTTAGAGATACTAAACCTTTGGTGTTCTTAGAGATCCTTTCCTCACATCCTCAAGGAACAAAGGAGTATCAAAAGGAAGAAAATCACAAGGAAGATCTAAGGAGCTAGGAGGTGACTTGAAGGCCCTCCGCTTGGTTGAATCCCTTGTGTAAACAAGGATGAGCTTCAAGGTTAATGAATCTCAAAATCCTTTCTTCTCTTTAATGTTGTTAAAGAGTCTTGTGGTTCACCATTTACTAGGCTTTGAAAGTCATGGGTTTTAGAATTGTTTTTTAATGCATGCCTACTTTAAAGTGTTATTAGTTTGCTTATGTGTTCAAATATTCTCACATGTTCTTAGCTAGGACAAATTTTTTCCTTCATTTGGTATTAGAGCCTAGGCCTAGTGTATGGTGAATCCTTTTGGGTTTTGTGTTTTTGATGGTTTGTGATTTAAATGTTGTAAATGTTACAAGCTTTGTTCTTACTTTTTGAATATAATTTTTGCTTGAAAATTTAGCATCTCAAATGTTGTAGATGTAGTTCATTTAAGCATGGATCTTGGAACTATAATTTGGTGCCATGTATGTGGGGAAATTCGTCCAAATCCAAAGGGTGGATTTTTGGGTTCATGTTTGTCTTGTTAAAAGTGTTTTAAAGTGACATTAGGAACCCCTAAGTACCCTAGGATGTTAACCCTCTTTTGTGTAGTGAAAATTTGAATTTTGTTGAGTGAAAACATTCATGGAGCTCTTATGAGTTTTCATGTGTGTTCTTCAAAATTCTTGTTCTTACCAAGAACAAAAAGGTTTAGTGTTTTGATTTAATTTGTTTGCTGTTTGTCATAAAGTTTTGGTTTGTTATTGATTGGTGATGGATGATTTGTGTCTTTATTGTTTGAAAAACCTACATCTTACAACCCATACCAATCAAACTTTTCAACCATGCCAATCAACTATTAACCCATACCTTTCACTTTTTCAGCACACTTTATGAAATTTTGAATTTTCAACAAAACCAACCCATCACTCAACTACCAAAATCGGCCACCCCATAATGGGGGTACTTTTGAGGCTTTAATGCAATTACATAAAATTTTGAAACTTTTGTGTGTTTGCACTTTGACCCAAAAGTTTACGTTTTTTACAATTGTTGAAAGGACAAATTGTTTTCCTCCTTTAATGAAGTTTTTATAATTGTTGAAATTTTTTGGGTTCTAGTTGTAATTACATGAAGTTTTAGACTCTTGTGTTTTTACAAAGTGACCCCAATAGTTTATGACCCCAATAGTTTATGTTTTTGAGCATTATGGCCTAATAGTTGTGGTCATTGCATTTTCGGTCCAAATTATGATGAGAACAAAATGGTTTTGTTTCTTTAAATGAGAATTGGTTTTTCATTTCATTTAGTTCCATTTAAATAAATTCTATGAATCCGAAAACCAATTGTTTAAGTTGCTTTCTTAGTTAATGTGATTGATTAAGAAAAGGATGATTATGAACCAAAGACCTCGATAATTGAGCTATGTGATTGGCCGCTTTACATTATGAATGTTTGGGTTAAGTGGTTTAGATTTGAATGTAATTTAATTAGTTCAAATGTGTTGTAAAAGGGCATAAGCCCTTCTCTTTACTTTGAGTATTCCTTTTTGTTTATTTGCATGCAAATTGGAATAGTTGGGTCCAACCTCTAATAGGAAATAACGGTTTAATTAGATTAAACGCGTAACTAAAATCAACAACTACCTACCTTAGACCCAAGGTCCAACACAAAGCTTGTGTTGGATCAAATCAAACGGTTCATAATCATCCTAAGACCTAAGATGACTATATAGTCCATATGAGGATGCTATGCATTCGTTAGTAGTTCTATATAGTCTCGCTTGTTTCATCGACACAGTGGGAGTATTATATACTACTAATTCATATAAATTTGGACCAATGGTTGTGATAGGCCCAAGTTCTTTTAATAAGATTAAATGAAATTGATGTAGCCCAACACTACTCACTCAAAACGA